TGTTTATCACACAGCTCTATATATGAAGAGATTTGATATATAATGTGATACATATTGCTTTACGTGAGTATAGTGTATATATGCAGGTAAAGTAGGTCATACTATATGTACATACATTTTTTTTTAGTAAATATCACTGGACTAAAATATAGTCTAGATTCTGTAATCAAGCAGTTTATATTTACTATATAGTACACACAGCTTTCTGTGAGTGTACTTTATGTATCCGGTTAAAGGGATAGTTTACCCAAAAATGAAAATTCCCCCATGATTTACTCACCCTCAAGCCATCCTATAGGTGTATGAAACTTTCTTTTTTCAGACGAATACAATCGGAGTTATAATAAAAACTGCCCTGGCTCTTCGAAGCTTTATTTTTGGGTGAACTATCCCTTCAGGGTTGGATACATTTTTATTTTATTATTATTATTTTTTAAACATTTGTTTACTTTTTAATTTTCATTTTATTAGTAAACTGTGAAGCATTTTCACTAGTGATCTCAGACTTTTGAGCCGCACTATATGTATAGGATTTATACTGTCTAGTTTGAAAGGATTATCGTCGTGGCCTGTGCTTGACTCCATTTGTGAGAGTCCTTCTGTTCAGCATGAAGTGTGTGAAGAATTAGATGAACATACTGACAGAGAGGGTTAAGCCTTTAGCTGGACATCACATATTGCTAGATTCTGTCTCAACAAGCCCTAGCTGACCCCTAATACAACTGAAGCTGTGCAGCTTGATGGATCACACAGATTGAAAGGTGGCATATGTCTCATGTTAAGCTTCTGGTTTTCTGATTTTGTTGTCCTTCCAACATGGAATCTCAATAACAGCATTTCTACAGGATTTTTATTTGACATCATGTATGCGATCTATATTCTGCTCCAATCAGATCAGTAAGTTCACTCTAAAATGAAAATTCTGTCATCATTGACTCACCCTCTTGAGGTTACAAAATGTTGCTAACCATTCAGTTTTGGTTACCATTGACTTTCATTGTATGGGAAAAACTCAAAATATCTTTGTTTATGTTCCACAGAAAGATAGTCAGTAATTTAGGTTTGGAACAACGTGAGCAAATGATGACAGAATGTTCATTTTTAAATGAACTGTGCCTTTAACAGCTATGACAGAACCTACCCTGATGCTGTGTCCCTGATTGCAGGAGACTTTAATCATGCCAACCTGCAGACAGTTCTTCAGAAATATTACCAGCATGCCTCCCGCCCCGTAAGAACGCTCTTGATTACTGCCACACCACTATCACAGCTGACTGCCAGACAGATCATCTGCCTGTGCTTCCTATTCCAAGAACCTGAAGAGGAAGAATGTATCCACAGCAACACTGGATGCAGGAGCAGATGAAGTGGTGTGAGTCAGTGAACTACACTTGTTAGTGATTCAATTAAGATACTATTTTTCTGTTTGTTTTATCTTAATCATCTTGAAGAATGTACTTAAAAAGCTGCTTTATTGAGTCGCTGTTCAGTATGGAAGCTTATTTCCACCATGGAATAAAAATATTAAAACTTTTCGCACAGTTGTGATTTTATACCTTACAATTCGCAGTTACAAGTTATAAGTATTTACATCTCGCAATTCTGACTTCTTTTCCTCTGTATTTTGAGTTTATATCACCAATACTGCTTTTTTCCCCTCAGAATTCTCAGTCTACATCTCACAATTTTTTTTCTCAGAATTATTTTTTTCTGCCACAGAAAAAGTTGCAACTATCTTTTTTATATTTGTATTCTGCAGTGAAAATTAGCTTCCATAGTTCTGTGTAATAAATGAAATAATTAGTTTTTACGATGATAACAACTGAGTTTAATTGACAGTCAGTGCATTGTGAGTCACACCAATACACTTTCATGCCAGAGATGAACATTAGTCACCAGTAGTCTTTTAAAATTGGTAGGCCGACACAGAATCTGTGCCTGCTAAATAAGCTTTACAAATTTCCACAGAACAAAAAAAAAAAAAATAGTTTAACTATAAATTCCCGGTGTCCTGATTAAAACATATTCTGAAGCGATTAGTTGCCCTAACTTGCCAACTAAATCACTTGTTGCCCATTCAGATCAAGAAAAGACATTTTGTGAACTAACATTAAGAGCTATGAAAGTACCTACCCTGATGTTGTGCCCCTGAATGCGGAAGACTTTAATCATGCCAACCAGCAGATGGTAGAAAGCTCTACAGATTTCCACAGAATTATTATTATCTCCCAAAAGCAGCACATAAAATAAAAAAAAGAAGTGTGGATTTACTTTTTGGCATTGACATGACCTTCAGGAGTAGTCTATCAGGAGTAGTAAGAAACATAAAAAATGAACACAATTTTCCTAATCTTTGTGTACCACAGTTTGTGGCATAGTCACAAAAACGGACAAATGAAAGCAGTAGGGATTTCTCACTACTCTATGATTCTGATATGTTTCTAGTTGCAAAGAAAAATACTGTGACCTGTATAATGATTACAGACTGATCCACCATAATGATGTGCTGTGAAGAGCTGGTGATGGGGCGCATTAACACGATGCAGTCTGAGTGATTAGACCCCCTGTAGTTCATATAACAATATAATAAGTCCAGTGAAAAGCAATTTCTTGGGATCTTCATGCTGCACTGACTCAACAGGAAGGCACTATTGTCAACATTTTCTTTGTTCTTTATTGATTACAGCACCACATTTAACACCATCATTCCTTCCAGACTGGAGAGAAAGCTGAATGACATTGATATTTTATTTTATTTCGTGTATTTTAGACTTCTTTGCATTTGCATGGTGCACTATAACATTAAATTGAACCCTGAACTGAACATTTATCTCAGTGGTAATATGAGGTTGCACAGATCTACCCATAATTATTGGTGGTAGGACTGAGTAGGAGGGTTAATCCAGAAACATGAGGCATGTGTTCATCCGTAGTAACCCTTCTCTCGGCAGAGATGCCTAATAAGCTGGAGCAAAGGGGTCGCAAGTGTTAAAGGGCTGATGGGGATAGAATGCCCACTTTAAGAAGAGAATCCAGCTTTGACCTGATGGGAAGGAGAGAAAATGAACCCAGGAGTATAAAAGAAGATAGGGTAGCATGAGGCTATTCAGAAAGAAGACCCTTGGCCTTTAGCTTTAACCTGAACAGAATGTAATCCTCTCCCTACTGCCCCTCTGTATTTTTTCCCCCTGCACTTTTTATCCTTCACCCAACCTGCAGCTGAATGTCAAGTGTTTACAGTGTCTTATTTCTCTCTCTGCAGTTCTGTATGAGGGGCCGTACAAGCCATAATTCATTCTGGCACTCTCACACACTTACATTCTCCTTTCACATACATATATTCTTGCTTTCACACACTTTCATTCTCCTTTCACATGCATATATTTTTGCTTTCACACACTTACATTCTCCTTTCACATGCATACATTTCTACTCTCACACACACATACATTCTCCTTTCACATACATATATTATATATATATAGAATGTATGTATGTCTGAAGAAAATATGTGTATGTACGAGAAGAATGTATGTATGTGTGAGAGAGAGTATAGCGGAAACGGAAGGAGTATAGTGGAAATGGAAGGCGTATAATGGAAACGGAAGGCAGGTCAGACGCGATCAGGGTCACCGGGACAGGTCATGATCAGCATGGCTGACGTAGATGAGGCGGCCGCATAAGTATTTCAGCAAGCTATTTGGATTAAAAAAAAAATAATAATCATCGTGAAAAGGTTACATGGTCTCGTCCCTTGAGCGAGTTGTGATTGAGGACGCGGGCTCAGCCTCAGTCGAGTTGCCAGATACACGCATTATAAGCGTCTATGGATTTTTTTTTTCCCGGGGTGTCTATTTACACTAAGTGTAAATAGCCTGCCTTGTTGATAGAGGCTATTTACAGTAGCTCCACCCGTAGTAGATGGTAAAGCGCGCACCGTAGTCTTTTTGACGTGATCGACCCGGGTTCGAATCCGCCTTTTACCTAACTTTTTTTCTTCCTTTTCAAATCTCATATCACATCAGAAACGCATTTATTTTCAATAAAAATGAAGGAAACAATCCCTCATAGTTCTGACATACATTCCTGCACACACACACACACACACACACACACACACACATACATACACACTAGCATTTAAAATTTAGGGTCAGTAGCTTTTTCCTGTTTTTTCTTTTTTCTTTTCTTTTTTTTAGTCTTCTGATTACAGAGGCTGTTTTTTTAAATACGGAAAAAAACTGTTTAAAATTATGTTTTATTTTATTTTATTTTGTGATGGCAAAGTAGAATTTTCAGTCTTCAGTGTCATATGGTCCTTTAGAAATCTTTGTAATATGCTTATTTGGTGCTATATTTCTTCTTATTATCAATGTTGAAACTATTGTGCTGCCTAATGTTTTTGTGGAAACTTTTTTTTTTTATCAAGATTATTTGATGAACAATGCTCAGCATCTAATATCTGAACTCTAATATCATCTAAATATTTTGTGTCAACTGACACTTTTGAACAATTAAATGCCTCCTTGTTAAATAAAAGCATTAATTTTCTTACTTTTGAACTTTTAAACAATAGTGTATATATTAATTAGTGTATATTATAATATTTACTCTTTTGCAGTGTCACACTTTTATCCAAAATAATTTTACTGAAAATCATGCTGTGTAAAGCTTGTCCCAGTTAGCAGCTTTAACCAAGTGAAGTGGAGCATAACATTTATACATTTTATATTCTGCATAATTATTTGCTTTGAAACTGTACCAGTTCCAATGTTTTATGTTCATTTATTAATTCATCTGGTAAGTAGCCATGTTATTAGCAGGATAACATAATGTCACCAGGTCATTATCACAAAATAAACCCCTTCAGGCTGATTCGAGGCCATCCTGTTATCCTTCAGGTTTATTTTGCATTAATGACCAACTGACTGTATCTTATCCCATACATTTACCATAAACATCTCACAATAATCTTCCTTCTCTCCATTGAATCTTTCCAGGGTATGGGGCCCTCCAGTATGCCGTCTGTGCCCCTCATGGTGGGCTGTGGCATATCCTGTACGGCTTTACTCATTCTGCTGCTCATCTACGCTGCCTTTTGGAGGTGAGTTCAACAAAAACCCTGACCCACAGCCAGCAACACAACACAGACCTACAGAGGACCCCTTTTGAATGTAGCTTCCAGGTTCTGCTGTCCTCTGCTGATAATAGGATATTATGTGCTATTTTTGCACTATTCCCCTTGTTTACTTCCCAGTGCTCTCACAGGTACACTTACAGTCTAAAAGATTCATTTTTCAGTCTGTAGCTTCCCACATAGGGTTGCCCCTGCTGGGATAGAGCAGCTGGCATGGGGTAGATCTAGAGTGGGCCAAAACTGCAATTAACAATAATTGGGAACAAATGAGGGATGGCGGGATCCGCCTGTGGCAGGACAGGATTATGTGGAGAGTGCTAGTGAAGGCTAGCATGGTTGCTAACAGCTCTGTGTGGCAGATGGCCCAGGACAGTCACATGATCAGCTAACACCGTGTCCAGAAAAGAGCCAACATGCTGTCAAGTGCTTAGTCAAGTATTTATCTCCTCAGAAGAATGACTCTAATTTTTCCCTGATTTTTTTTGTTTATATATTATAAATAAAATAATAATAATAATAATAATTATATATATATATATATATATATATATATATATATATCTCACATGCTT